CGGGAGAGGGGCTGGGGGCAGATGGTGTCTTGCCCTGAGGAGGGGACAGGGGCCGGGGGGACGATGGAACCTTGCCCTGAGGAGGGGAGAGGGGCCGGGGGAAGATGGTGCCTTGGCCTGAGGAGAGGAGGGGGGCCGGGGACAAGATGGCGCCTTGGCCTGAGGAGGAGAGAGGGGCTGGGGGGAAGATGGAGCCTTGCCCTGAGGAGGGGAGCAGGAGAGGGGGTTAAGGTGATGGCTTCTTCCAGGGACCAGAAATCAGTCGTGGTTTCCATCCTGCTCTATAGCTGTGGAGTTTCTGCACTCTCACCCGGCAAGTGCAGCTTTGGCTGTGGGAGCAGCGTTGTGCTTTAGGCATCAGAGCCTAGGGGCAGTGGGCAGGTTGGAGGGGCCTTGGTGAGTGTCCTTTTACAGATGTTTGATAAAGCAGCAACATCTGGAAAAAGTGCATGTCCTGTTGATATGCATCAGTTCCTCTTGATCTGGAGGCCAGTTTGTTCCCCCGTCCTTAAGGAATGGTTATGAATAGGTGTGTTGGCATCAATAACCGCCCTGTTTGCAAAGTTCTGGATGTCAGCAGACATCTGGAGTTCTCATTTTGGACCACTTTTGTGGTCAGTATGCACTGGCATCTGTCAGCATTGACCATTCTCAGTATCGGGAGGCGTGGATGAGTACGGATAAGCATTCCTGTCACTGGGGAATGAGATCTAGAACCATCCATCGCTATGGATCAGTTTTGACTCCTCTCAATCTCATCTATATAGGTTTCTCTCAGCGACTCATCGTCATCCACTGCTGCCAATAGCTCTCGATACCTTGTGTGACAGGCAGCATGCTGTATTTTTATAGTATCACCAGAGCTGTGATTTTGGGGTAAATCAGGATGTACTTGGCCTTCCATGTGGTACTAGGAATTTACTATGGGGAGCTGGGCTTGCTGGTGAGTGCTTAAGGAAGGGGGAAGGGCAGCAGCCTGTAGGGAGAGGCTGGAAGGGAAAGTCAGCCTGGGGCCCTGCCAATGGGGAGAACTAAAGGGAAAAGAGTTAATTTGGAGCCGCACGTTTTGGAGATGCTCACCGTGCCACCGCTTCTTCATATTATTTTAAGAAAATCTCCCAAATGAGATCTTCCAAATCTCCCAGATATTTTATTGATTCTTCCTGGTGTAAAGAACCCCAAAATAGATCAAAAACGTGACTGGCATCATAACAGTTAAGATGCTGAGCGCATTGATCCCAAGCTGATGTGTACCTTTGGGATCTCAAATGGATGGTGGTTCCATTACGGCAAGCTCAGCTGATTTAAGCAATGACAGATATTGATGAGATGACAAGTTTGCTGCATTGGGGCTGACCCC